ATACCAACAGAAAGAAAATTGCCCGTTGTTCATTCTATATGTGATGCAATATTTTTGTGTTAACTGAGGAAAGACCGATAGACTATGAGGAATGGAAAACGGCCCGTAACGAAACATAGGCTTCTTATCGTAAGACAGCAACATCGGAACAGTCGAGCGATATTTTAGTAGCATTTATGTGAGTTTTGACTTTGTACTCATCTTCACAACAAAACAAGAAACCCAGATTTAGGGTTGACGTGACATTAATCCAGAAGGATTTTGTCGATGAGGAATTCATTTGTTGCCAATGATGATCCTAAACGGGGGAGAGCTGCTGGCAATGTTGCTGGAGTGTGAAAGTCTTGACTAAAAACTGACCCTCCGTTTTCGAATCAATACCTAAAGATTGCATTGTGCAGTAGAGTTGTAATTACCGGTGAGGAAAATAATGTATATTTAGTCTTAATATAAATTATAACTCTGTTATTATATATATATATATATATATATATATATATATATATATATATATATCTATATATATATATATATAGATAGATAGATAGATAACTAGACTCGTTTCGAAAAACCCTCGAATTTTTTATTTGCTAATCAAATCAATCTCGAGGAAAAAAAAGGTTTAAAAAAAAAAGAGCTACAAACATGAACTTCTGCCGAAAAAAAAAATCGCACAGATGCAGGTCTGAAGCCCAAAGAAAAAACCCCGATACGAGTAACAACTAACTAACAAAAGAGCTCAATACAACCGTAGAGCAGACCTATATACACCTAGTGAGCCAGACAAACCTACCTAGGTTTCACCTAAACGGATCGTCAGGGAAAGTTATACATAATCCTAAGGTGCCAGGCAAACCTACCTAGGTTTCAGCTAAACGGATCTTCAGGGCAACCTGGCGATTTGTTTCGTCTTCTTCTGATATTTTTAGTTCTTTCTTTTTTTTTTTTCCAATTTTTTCCTCGGGTATCAATTTGTCCTGACATATGTGCAAGTTGAGCTATCCGAGGTTTCCAAACGAGTACTACTATTAATATATATATATATATATATAGATTTTTTTTTTGAATTTGTAGGTCTGATGATTTGGATCGTATTTACGATTCCAATGGAATAAATTATGACCATGGAATAATAGTGTTTAAGCCTTTTTATTATATCCTTACTCTGTCCTAGACATTGAGTTCTACCTGGATCCTTCCTCTTGGAAAAATTTTTTTCTGAAAATATACATGTATGGAAATTTTTTTAGATATATTTTTCATATGTATGTATATTTTCCACTAATATTATCTATCTATCTATCTATCTATCTATCTATATATATATATATATATATATATGTTATTTTATACATTTCTTTTTAAGCATTTCACCCCCAAGCAAAGCGGGATGCCACTAGTACGCAGGGAGTTACACAGTGGGAGCGAGAGTAAAAAGGTGTGATGGAGGAAAGGATGAAGAAAAGGGCAGGAGAGAGTTCAGGTCATCTGGAGATGTCGATTGACATTAAATTTGAATAGTTGGAGATTATAGCTATCAGGGAAGGGAATTCCACAGGCGAGAGGTGCGAGACATGAAGCTATTGGAGTAGACGAGTCGGCTACATTTAACCGTTTCGACAGTGAAAGGGTGGGACTGAGATGCCAGCCTAGTAGCACGCTTAAATTCATGCAGTCTGGGAAGTAGCAAAAGTAGATCGTCGGAGCAGTTATCGGGAAAGTATTTTAGAAAAGACAGAGGGAGGCGACGGCACGTCTGTCAGAAAGCGACTGAAGACGAGATGCCAGATCAGGACCAACCACATTGCTTATCTGTATCTGGATCTTGTCGAGGACCTTAAGGCGAATAGCGGGTGCGCCAGACCATATATGGCAGCAATATTACATGCAAGGGCGAATGGTTGATTTGTAGATTTGAAGGATGGACTCGGGCGAGAAAAACGTTTTGGCGCGACACAGAGAACCAACTGCCCTTGCGGTGGATGAAGCTATTGATTCAATGTAATTGTTTCATCTCATGTCAGCGGACAGTGTGAGACCAAGCATTCATAAAGAGATGCTCTCGTGGAGTTGAGCATCAGATATTCTAATGGCCGGCAGGAATGGTGGCCTATATATATATATATATATATATATATATATATATATATATATATATATGTTTATATATCGGGTGTACATCGTTATTGTCCATCCCACAACACGTTTAATATCTAAATATCCACTAAACTAATTCAGTTATGTTCAGGTTTTAAGACAATACATTTAGTCATCTTAACACCATTTGTCGTAAGAATCACTGGAAAACCCTGTAGTTATTCAGCTAGAGAGAGAGAACTGGTTAAAATTCATACTCTGGCTTCTTTCTTCAAAGTCCATTTAAGAACCATCAAGAGAACGGTGAATGAGTTTTAAAAGGGAAAAGTAGAGAGGAAAACTGGATCAGGAGGTCACAACAGGAAGAGGGATGATCATTTCAACTTAGAGCTAAAGAGATCGCTTAGAAAAGATCCAACTCAATCCATATGACGTTTGGCATGTGAGGGAGGAGTTTCAGCTATGACAGCCCAAAGAGAAGTGAAAAAAGACTTGAAAACGAAATCGTACGTGAAACGTGTGAGGTAACTTGTTACTCCAGGACATAATTTTAGAAGGGTAAAAAGTTTAAAGTTCATCTTCAATAAGTTGGAAAATGATCCTAGAATATTATATATATGTTAATTCCAAAATTGTATAAGCTTTTAATCGTTAGCTAGGATTAATTAATGATCAAGATAGCCGGTAAGCTATGGCTGGCTAAAAAAACAATACTAATAAAGGAAACATTGGTTGGACTGATGAGGATGAAATAAGCAATTGAATAAATAAATTGTGTTTAATATTGTTGTTGTCATTTCTCGAGAAAAATATTTAAATAAACTTCTTACCAGCAACCAGAACCATATTCTGCACGAAATAATAGAAATATTAAATCGGCAACGTATGAATCCTTATTTTTGCACCGAAAGAATACAAACAATACCATAACAAAATAGGCCTTAGAATGTATTAGGAACTGTGTAATTTCAGCAGATATACAATAACAGAAAGGGGTCTAAGACAAGGACGTATCTTCTCACCGGACTTATTCAACCTATACAGCCAGCCATACTTTTAACACTATAAGATATGCAGATGATACAGTGTTGATAGCAGACACGGAAAGGAAACTACAAAAGCATCTACAGAAGATAATGAAGGTGCAGGGAGACCACAGATGTTTTCATTGGGTGAACTCATCGGAGTTCACTCCCTTTAGAGAGGAGAACTCTTCTGCCCGTTTTTTTTTTTTTTTTTTTGCTTTTTGCTTTCGGTTTTTGAGGAACGATTATTACCTTCCTGACCATCAGTGCATCCATACACGTGGAAAATTGACAACATGTGTAAATCCTTTTAATATGTGCTTCTAAGTTGTATTTTGCCTTATAAAATGCTTCTCGCCTTTCTATTTTCACACTCAGTATTAGTGTATCAACGGCTACACTAATGCTAATATTAGTACTTGGTTGTACAGGAAAACATTGCTCTTCCTAGCACTAAATAGGCGGCAAATTATAGCTGGCTTATAAAGAAATACTAATCGGCTACCCAGTGATAATACAACCTAGTACTAATGATATACAAGTCCAGCTTTTTGACGATTAGACGAATTTTGTTTTATGAGGCCTACTATGGTGTCTTGTTTCTTTCTCTCTCTCTTTTTTCTCTCTCTACCTTTCTCTCTCTCTCTCTATTTATCTCTTTCTTGCTCTCTCTCTCTCTTTCTCTCTCTATCTCTTTCTTTCTACCTCTCTGAGTTTCTTTCTTTTTTTTCTATTCTTTATGACTCCAGTTCTCTACGCTCTTTTTAAAACTTCCCACGTCTCCAATCAGTGTCAATCAAAACACACCGACCCATTTCGCCGCTGATCGATAATCGATCAGTATGCGATTGGCTGACACGCATAACCAAACAACACAACTGGAGATCAATAAAAACTGTAATATCAAAGCGCGGGCTTTCTTAAGACATGGATCGTGTGGCTCGAAACACTATCGCATTCTTAGAATGTACATCAGCTTCATTTTCCTGTAAAACCCCATTACCGCCATTACGATAAACATTATTACTCCAGCGTAGGAACACAAACCGGAAATAGGTTTCAATGAGCCTTGCTCTTTTCTTGCATCATCAATTTTGATCGCCCTTTTAATGATGGCGTTGAATAGAACATTTCCCTCCAGTTAATACTACTGAGGCTTAAATTCACACAAAAGCACTCGTTTTTCTTAACTACTGCAACATTTCTCTTCCCGCCCTGGGTATGACGATAAACTACATCCGTGTCCTGGGTAAGACGATAAAAAACGCCCGACTGCAAGGCCTCTGACCAAGAGATTTTGAGGAGCGTGGAACCACCTCTTAATTGCTGGTATTCCCAGGTCCACTGTGACCCGGGGTGGTAGCACCTGTTTGGGTCTCAGCTATGGGCAAATAGTTAACTCCAAACTAGGGTCAAAACACCATGAAAGCGTAAAAATAGGTTTTAATAATAGTAATGAATTTTTTGAAGGAAAAAATTATTACCAGCAATGATTGTTTTAAGGAAAAAATATTACCAGCAATACATTATTACCAGCAATACATTTTTGGTAAAAAAATATTACCAGCAATACATTTTTACAGAAAAAATATTACCAACAATACATATTTGAAGAAAAAATATTACTACCAATATATTTTGAAGAAAAAATATATTACCAGCAATAGATTTATGAAGATAAAAATTTTACCAGCAATAAAAATTTTGTCGGCTTTAAATAACCCATTGTGGTTGATATGCATTAAAACAAAACAAACCAAACCAATACATACTGAGATAGATAGATAAAAAATATTACCAGTCATAAAAATCTTGTCGGCATTAAATAACCCATTAAGATGTTGATATGCCGTTAAGCAAAATAAGCCAAACCAATACATACTGAGATAGATAGATAGATAGATAGATAGATAGATAGATAAAAAATATTGCCAGTAATAAAATATTTGTTGGCATTAAATAACCCATTGAGGTGTTGATATGCCAAATAAACCAAACCAAATATTTTTTTCCTTCAAATATTTTCTTAATCTGTGAGGAAATTGTCCAGAATACACTGCCATATCAGAAGACTGATACTAACCAACAGTCCAGTACACTTGTCTTTGATTTTAACAAAATTTTCCATTTTCTTATTACTTTGTTTCTAGAAGTCATCTTTCATTATCCTAATTCGTCATCGAATTTCAATTTGGCAATTTCCGTTGACGGTTAAAACATTTCCCAAATGTTTCAGTATTTTTACTTTTTTAGATTTTGGTGTCACTAATTTCTAATTTGTATTTTGGCCTATTTCTGTTGCTAACCTAAATTAATAAAATTTTCAAAGCACACTTTATATTTCAGCTTATATTTACTCCTCCCCTTCATGTATTGCTGGTAATTATACTATAAAAAATTATTTTTATATTTTTTAGTGTTTTAATGATTGTCATTTTGATATAAAGATGTATTGTTGGTCATTTTACTTTAAAAATGTACTGTATTAATTTTTTTTTTTAAGGTTCACTATTTGCCCAAAACTGGGACCCTAACAGGTACTACAAAAACAATCCAGAGATAAGTCCACGCTCTTTACAACCTCCAATTTCCGGATCAGAGGCCTTGAAACTACATGCAGGTTATGGTCAAACCTAGGGCATATATATTGTTGTGGTAAACCCTCTTACAGTAAAATGAACTCTTCTTTCTCTCATAAATACAAACTGCGAGAGTCGTAAAGGAGTGCAGAGTGTGAAGTGAAGTGGAGTAGTAGACGCAGTGCTAATCTACTTATTACTAACACTATTGTTTTGTATATAACTTCAGTATACTTTTTTTCAACCGACCTTCGTCTTCCGTGTCTTCCTTTCTGGCCCCTAAACAGGCCATAACATATATATATATATATATATATATATATATATATATATATATATATATTATAAATTAATTGATTTAAAATTTTTAGAGTAACTTTTAAAATTTTAAAAGTTACTCCAAAATTCGCTTGAGGATGAAATGGAACTAAAGTCTTTAATTTAATTACAAAATTAAATTCGCAGCTTTCAGCTTCCATTTTTGAAACATGGTTAGAACTGTGTAGCGAAAACAAACATATTTTAAATCATTTAATTTATAATGTTAAACATCTGTAAATTTACATTGAGCACTATTTTGTAAAAATAAAAATATCTATAAGAACACCGGATTATATATCTTACTGTTCTTTCTTTATATATATATATATATATATATATATATATATATAGTAAAATTTCTCATAATAATTTCATGGATAAGTGAAATTCGTATAACAATGACAATTGAAAAAAAAACTTATTACAATTTGTCTTAACCACAGAATTATTCTGGGAAATTTTACTCTATTGTCGACATAGAAAACAAAAAACAATCTCTTAGTATGAAGGAAGTTAACATTATCCAGAAAACTCTTATACAAGAGCATCGGCAAAAACTAAGATTTTTTTTCCAGTTGGCATTCTTATATATATATATATATATATATATATATATATATATATATATATATATATATAGAGAGAGAGAGAGAGAGAGATAGGGATAGAGGTGAGACAGGAGCGTGGGGTGTAATGGATTGCGGGTAACAACGGGAAATCAGGGTGCTGGTTTCGTTACATTCACTTGCAACAGGCTATGAATCCATCTCTTCTCTCTCAAGCAATGTGTTAACTAGCAGGACCGATTGCGTTATATAGCCATGGTTGGCAACCATTTTAGAGATGGTAAATATGAAAAATAAAATCAAACATCTTCGATGAAGCCTGTGCCACTCGTTGAACAAAAACGCAAGGTGATTGATATTCTACAGTTCTGTGATTTGCAAGGAAAGTTTTTATCCTCATCATCATCTTCATCACCACCGTCATCATCATCATCTATGGCATTGCATATATCCTTTTGTATTTGCAAGCAGTGAAATAAGTTGATGTTCAATTGATTCTCTGTTACTCTGGGTTTTTTTTTTTACACATTCCTTTAAATCAATTCCTTTCAGTTCTTTTCTCTATTATTTTTTTTTGTTCTTTCATCTTCCGTAAGTCGACTCATTCCATTTCCTCTGACTCCATTATTTTCCGTATCTTTTTTTCGCGCTTTTCTTACAGTTTGTTTTTGATTAATAACTGAAACACTGTTTTCTTTCTTGTCTTCTTTTTACTGTTTGTTGCTTTCGTTCCTCCTTTTGAACCTAGTCTTTTTTTTTTATCCCATTCATTTTTTTCTCTCTTGTTTTTGTTTCTTTTTCCAAAATCCATTTCGCTATTTGTTATTCCTCTCCATCTTTAATGTGGTCGAGAACAGATGGCTCAGGCGCTAAGCAGAAAAATGCCTTTCATCCTCCACAATTACTCAGCGAAACATAATTACAAGGGATTACATCTCCATTATGATGCAGATGGGTCAAGACGTCATTTATTAGAAACAACAGTACGGTTAATGATAAGATGAACAATCCAACTAGAATTTTGAGGAAAATGAATATTGGAAGGGAACATCTAAGAGTAGCTTTAGAATTAAGGCAGTGCAAGAGCTACGAAAGACAGGAAAGTGTGGAGATCCATCATCGCCTACGCCCTGAAGGAACACGGCGCATAGAGAAGATGATGCCAGTTAGAGTCTAGGGATAGCGTAGTGATTATCAGCGCAGAAAATGGAATTCGCGGGTCAGTATCAAATATGACTCGAGACAGCTTTCGCCCAAAAAACATTTGGGGAGAACAAGCAAGACTCGTTTGTCTCACTTTATTTGGAAAACCACTCTAGGAGAAGAAAAAACCTGAATTCAAAACCTGTTGGGTGTGGTACAAACAACATCCCACATGAATTCGGAAATCATAACAAAACTTAGGGTAGTGAGGTCTACTTACCGACCTGCCAAGTCTATGGTCTCCTTGTCGAGTATAGGGCCACACAATATACTGCAAAGTTTTAGCAACAACATGTAAAGTGGAGAGAGATTTCATGTTGTAAAGACGTAGAATAAATAACAACGACACGGCAGCAAAATTATATGAAATATATACACATGTAAATTCTTATTTCGATCCTACAATAATAAGGCAGACTACGACGGTAACAAACGCCATAGCAAGCAGTCTACCTCATTTACAACTATAGTATGGCGGTCTACATCGGTCCTACACACTATAGTATGTAAGCAAATATATGGATATAGATCTGACAGTATGAAGAAAAATATACAGAAAAAACAAACAAAAATCTTAATATAACAAATTTTTGCTGTCAGTGTTCCATTTAATATGAAACGTTGATACGTCGGACGTTTCGGTATATTTTTGAACTGTTTATATAAAATTTTCAATCGAATTTTTAATATTAGAACATTAAAAATTCAACATGAAAATACGTTTGGACAACATCGCCCACGTGACGACGACGTGATCATATTTAAACGGAAATTTTCATATAAAATTTCAGTTATCTGTTTGGATTAGTGATCACGTTTATGTCCATCGTCTTTTCATGTTGAATTTTATATAAAATAATGTTAATTATATTTTAAATGAAAAATGTCTTCGAAGATGGTCTAAAATAGCCCCGAAACGTCCGACATATTTGACTTTTATATTAACATTAATACAGCATAATTGTATATTAAGATTTTGTTTGTTTTTTCTGTATATTTTTCTTCACACTATAATATGTGGTCTACTTCATTTACTACTATAGTATGGCGGTCTACGTAGGTCACAAACACTATAGCATGCAGTCTACCTCTTTTACTACTATAGTATAGCGGTCTCCGTTCGTCTCAAATACTATAGCATGCGGTCTACCTCATTTACTAGTATAGTATGGAGGTCTGCGTTGGTCTCAAACACTTTTATATGCGGTCTATCCCATTTACTACTAAAATATAGCGGTCTACGACGGTCACAAACACTACAGCATGCGGTCTACGACGGTCACAAACACTACAGCATGCGGTCTACTGCATTTTCTACTTTAATATGGCGGTCGACGATGGTCTCAAACATTATAGCATGCAGTCTACCTCATTTCCTTCTATAGTATGGCGTTCTACGGCGGTAAAAAACACTATAGCATGCGATGTACCTCATCTACGACGCTGTCTAACTCTGTATCCTATCTAGCAGATTGTAAAAAAGCGACTGCTGTTTCCCCGATCAAGATGACACGTCTATAAAAAAATCTTTTAGCAACCTTTTCATCTGAATGAGTTTATGCAGCTGATGTTAACGGTTTCAGTCCTGGGAGATTCTGATGTGGGGACTCAATTTCCTTCGTTTTATGTGGACAGGACACGCGAGAATCGAGACGAGGTGATGGTTGAATTAATCGTAGTAGACCGCAGTTGGACGCCATGACAAGTGAGGTAGGTTCAGGGTAGAATTCATAGCGCGCTAGACGGTATACTATAGTAGCAATGTTATTTGTTTCTTTGAAAATGATTCATCATCATCATCATTCCCATGATCATAATCCTGTTTGGCGTATAGCCATTCATCTCAGAATTTTGTAGCCTATGACTCGACCCTGCAAAATTCTGTAGCACCAGTGTATAGGATCTGATAAAGGACTGTCATTATTAAGACATAATGGATTCATTCGTTTGAACCCATTTTTAATCCTTGATCTGAGAAAACGGTTGTACCTGGAATAACTGCAATATTGTCCAAATAGTGCAACACCAAAATTTTTCAATTGTTACATTAAACTTTGAACCGTGATATCTTAGAAATGATTAAAGATATCCTACTGGAATTCTCCGGGGTTTTTATAACACTATTGGAATCTACATTGAACAATAAGAATGTATAATTATTCACCAAGCTTAACTGAAGAATCGTGATGAAATCGATCATAAACGAAAATGACATGTTCATCATTAATTAAACCTAGCTAAGGAGCAAAGGTCTCTAAGTGAAATGATGATCTCTCTCGCTGTTTTGACCTTTTGATAC